TTAATTAGGTGAGCAGTAGGCATGGTTTGATTTATAAATGAATGCCGAGGTTTTCTTGCTTTTGATCAGATGACTCCATAATAATTCATCAATCTGTCTGTTTAAATTATACTGGAGGGACAGGGTGGAAAAAATATTGGGCAAAGGATTTTTATATATATAAAACTACTATATACTTGAACTGCGCCGGCTATGATTGGACTTAAGCATAGTACATAAAATCATATGTTACAACGTCTTACCAGTTAATGAATATTCCAGCTTTAACCACAACACAAGAGCACACAACAGATATAAACTTAATGTAAACCACTCCAACCTTGATTACAGGAAGTACGGTTTCAGTGTGGTCAATGTCTGGAACTCACTACCTGATTCTATTGTCACCTGCTCAAACCCCCACTCTTTTACCTCAAACTAACCTCTATTGACCTCACCCCATTCCTAAGAGGTTTGTAAGAGGCATGCATAAGTGCACAATCGTGCCTACTGTCCCTGTCCTGTTGTACCCAATTATTAGTTCCTATTTCTTATATATAAACGTATGTTTATTCTTATTTCTATTATATTGTAAGCATATGATAAAATAAATAAATAAATAAGTATGTATGTATATTCTTTCCACTTAGCCTAAACATTATTGTAATTTGTGTTCATTTGCTACTCCATCAAATAAGTTTTTTCTTCTAAAAATCTATAATATAATACTGAGTCCCTGATTGTTTCTAAAAACTGAAAGATTTACTGTATTTAATTTCCAGTCATTTTTGCAAAGGATTCATTAAACTTTCAGTGTTGCCTGATTAAAAAAAATACTTCTAACAGCTGTAAAGTTCTACTTTCATAGTTTTTATGTAATCACATTTATATTATATAGTTTTACAACATCCTTTATTACATTGTGGTTTTCATAGCCTTCATCATTTCAGTGATAATTCTAAATTCAAGTTATTTTTCTTCAGCTTACAGGCTAGACTGTTTATATTATTTTCATTCTGTGCTAATTAAAGAGATCTGCTTGTAAAGATAAAATGGAAGAAATAAGCCTGTTGCCTTGATCTCTTAGAGAAAAAGTAGGATATAAATAAAGTTTGCAATAAATAGATAGCATCTCAAAACAAACACATGGACAAAGAAGAGATATCACTCACTCACTCACTCATACACACACAAATAAATACACTTGTGAAACTAAATGTATATATACAATACAAGGTTTAAAAAAATTAACATGCCCACATATATAGCCCAAGCAGGCAGTTTTGAAATAAAAAAGCCCTTCTATCAATCTTAACTTGTTCATTATGCTTTCCCATTTCTCAACAAAGGTGAAATGGCACAATTGATATTCTGTTTGCTTGGCATAAAGTGACTGGTTAAATACCTGGTAGATTTTGTTTTTACAACTTTTCTTTCCCTGAATACCTAGGTTTACTTTTGGGATTTAAAAGTAGCAAGGGGTGCATTATTTTACAATTTTTCCAGATTTGAGTTATTTGAGAGCTGAGGAAGAAACCTTTCTATGAATTCCAGTGAATGATTGCTTTTATTTGAGTAAAATCTGATTACAATCTTCTCTACCATCTCTATGAATTGGTTCAAGGAAGACTGTTTAATGTTAATCACTATATGACAGTATTTTTCCATAGCTTCTCTTTTGTTTTCCAAGCAGCACAATGAAAATATTTTTATAACATTTAATAGTACAGACAGTTCTTTTTGCATCTGTAACCTATATGCTTCTATTTTACTAAGTTGATTTTTTAAACCTTTACAGACTTAATCTGGCATAGATCATCAAATGATGCTGCCCCTTTATGTATCTTAAACTTAAAGTTCAACATAATTTTAACAGATGAACAAAATATTATTAAATCCAGACAAGGAGCAGGCATGCTGTAACCAGCCAACCTAGAGAAAGTCTTAACAATTTTGCAAAGATCAGTTGGCACAAAATCAAGAATCTTCCAGCATGCGGTACCATTATTACATATAATGACTTGTAGTTTCAATTCATACCAGTCACAGTTCTAATATAATTTCCACTTATATTCCAAAATATATGCTATTGATTTTTACATAGAGAAAAAGGAAAGAGTTTTGATTTTTTGTAGATGTTCTTCAATTTAACCTATACACAAATTGTTGATACTTGTTAGTCACATAACAAGATCCATTTAAAAAAAATCAACCATGTCAATGAGAAAAGGCAAATTCCTTCTTCGTGTTTATAATTATAGTGAAAATACAATCTTGACTGTCTGAGTCCATTAATTATATTTGGAACTATACAGTTCCAATGTGATAAGAACATTGTGATAAGGGCATTGTAGAGCTGAGTAAAATATCGAAAGAGGCCCTGAAATAATACTTGAAATATCTTTAAAATGTTCTAAAGAAAGGTATGACAGAGGACATAAAAAACACTTTGAGAGATCTTGTCCTATCATTCCCAAAGTCTTTGTCACTGAATTCAAATGATTGATACTAGAAAGTCTGTTGGTACTTTAAAATGTGATGATAATCATGGGCGATATTTGCAGTCTTGAAAAGTTTCAGATGTGGCCCCAGGCCCATTCAGAAATGACCACTAAATTCAAAATTTTAATTTTACACAGCAGCAATATAATAGAGACATGAGGAGAAATCATAATAACTACATTATATAAATTGAGTTAAATTGAATATTTGTCCTATCTTAACTTCCTTGCCCAAAAGATAAATTCAGACTTGAAAAAGTTGTTCACCTTTGGCTTATATTAAAGAAAATGTGCTAAAATTATATATCCTAAATCAGGGGTGTTAAACTGGCAGCCTATAGGTTGGCTGCATTACATGCCGGCCATGCTCACCCCAGCTCTGTGAAGGGAAAAAACGTTGCAAAACGTCACGACAGCAGTGTGACGCCACGGGTTTGATACCTGTGTCCTAAATCCACTAATGGTGATTTAGGAAAAATTGTTAAATGAATCTTTTATGTTTATTACAGTCAGAAATCAGATGCCCAATAAAAGTATATATTGGGAGAATGCATTTGGAAGGCAGCTAAATAGCAAAAGTGGCTGTTGATTGGTTGACATTGGAAAACAAAGTACTGTAAGCAGCCAAACAAATATGCTCATGAGTTGTTTAAGGGAAAAATCATTTGAATTAAAACAGTGTCTGCCTGCCTGCCTACAATGTGTGTCTAATTCTGCCTAAAAAATAAAGGTAGACTCTCAAAATATCATGGATGCCATGTATTAGGTCTTATTTGTATGTGACTTTGATTCAAAATTTCTATTATCTTTTCCAGGTTTATCTATAACTAATATTAGCACTTTCTTTCTCAAGAGCTACTGCTGCAGCTTATGAAAGTCATATTTTCAGTCAAAATCTTGTGTTAGAATCTCTGACATGGAGCCTGCCCTAGTAGGTCAAACCTCCCTTGGTAGTCAACAGACTTCTACCTTGCGGCATTTTATATTAAAAAACACTTTAGTGAGTGTTTTTGGTTCATGAATAATAATAATGATATAAATTCCACTATTTGAAGTTTGCTAGTATTGTTTTGGCTTTCAAATTCAATTGCCTGGAAACTTTTATCAGAAAATTGTTACTGTCCCCTGAGATAATTTGAAATTTAATTCAATCATTCCAACTTTTAGGTGCATTTTTGTTCTACTGCTAATTAGAAAATTTTTATTTCCAATTTCATTAAAAACCAAATGAGACAAAATTGCACCCTGAAAGTGAGACAATTTATGGAGGTGAAAGTATTGGGGTGAATAGGAGGACCCGCTTACTATTTTGCTGTCACTTTGTTTAAATTGTATTTAAGTCATTTTTTCTTGATTTGATCAGCAGTAGTGAAGTTCCTCACAGTATCTCTCTTTTGGGGATGGCAATTCCTCACTATCATTACCATCATGAAATATCCTGCCACAATTCCAAAAGGCATTGCATGAAGAAATGGAGATTTCCACCAGTTCCAACAGGCAGGCAGGCAGGCAGGCAGAATTAAAACTTTCAGCAAAAATCATTCTTTAAAAGGTCTCTATCCCTATAATGCTTCATCAATTTATAGGTGGGTTTTTATTTAGTGAGATGTCTGGTGTTATTAATTACAAGGATAACATTAAATTGTCTATTCTAATTCATTGACCAGATTACCAGCCAGTCCATTTATCTATTAACTCATATACTTTTATCATATGGGGGGGGGGGATATTGCTGAGTGAAATGTCATTGTGGTGGGACTCCATCTCTAGTCCAATTTAGGTCTAAAACCCACATCGCCAAGTCTCCTGTGTTAGCAAGAATGATGTGGAAAGACAGAAGACATAGTTGGGAAATAGCTTTATTCACTGCATTCATTACAGTCCACTGAGTTTTTCTAAAAAGTTCTACTTTATTTACTATAATAATATCTTGTGCCACAATTTTATGATTTATTGAACAGATAACTTTGAGGATAGCAATTCCAAAGATCAGGAATGAAAAATCTAGGACAAAGAACCACATTTATTTATGTCAGCAGTTTAAAGTTAACAAGCATTAAAAGTAAATTCTAGTATCATTAACTGGTGAGAAGAAAATAAATTTTCCCATCCCTATGATTACTATATTTTTTCTTATTCCTGACTTCTATTTTGATATCCAAACACTATTTTCTTTTTGCTTTGTAAAATTCTATGGTTCACAGGACTCTCAATTCTCTCTATGGTTCATGGGGCTCTCGAAATATTTTGTTTTAGTTATTATATTTTGACATTCTAACAATGCCTATTATACATAAAAATGAGAAGAAACCCCACAAAATAACTACAGAGGTTCAAAGAATTGAAGTCATCATTTGTCACAATTTCTACTGGTAGAAAATGAGCTGCATTTGTCTAGTGCCACAAAAGCAAGTGGGTTTTCTTTTTGTTTGCTTCCAACTTATGAAAAACGATTATGATATTTTTTGAATGATTTCAAGATAGCAGTAATGATTTTTTTCTCTTTTCTCCCATTCTTAGAAATTCCTTTGTAGATATTTTACGGGCTATTCTCTTGTCCTTGGAAGTTCTTATTGAAGATCAAGAGCTTCAGATAAATGGCTTCATTCTAATTATAGACTGGAGTAATTTTTCCTTCAAGCAAGCCTCCAAATTGACCCCTTCCATCCTCAGACTGGCCATTGAAGGGTTGCAGGTATGTAGCACAGAAGAAACTGTGATACCTTGAAGAATAACTTGGGTTTTCTTTCTTTTCTTTTTTTCCAGGAGCACTGTTGTCAAGCACAGAAACAATTAAAAAAATCAATAGAAAAATCATGTTGAAACTTGAGGCTTAATTAAGAAAATCAGATGTTTATTTGTTTCAGTGAAACCGTGAATCATTTTTAGCACAGGGCTGTACTGCATACTGCAGCAATTAGAAATGTTCAGAGATTTAAGATTTAATCCATGGGACTTCCGGGGGATTAATAATTTGCAGCATCTGTCAGACAAAATATATACCACACGTATACAGACTGTCTGCATATGTGTTGAATGGAGGATAAAATAAGTATCCAGAGACAGAGCTTAGCACCAGTCTGTATTATTATACATCCAAATGGCCTTTAAAAAAAATTTAAAACAAAAAATTCTCCAAACTATTAAAATCAGAGGTGGAGATGTTGCCCAGAAATATGTTTATACCCAGAAATAAATGAACAAACATCCTAGAATGCTGGAAGCAACATACATGGTTTGCTCTTAAATATTAGATTTTGTCAATAATAGCATTTGAATGACTGTGCTTTTTCAGCTGAAGGCAATTTAAGGGACACTAGGAAAAGAAATGCTGAATCCACAACCATTTTTTTCAGATCAGAAAAGTTTCCATCACTAAGTGCTTTGGGAATAGCCAACTATGGGGTTCTTCAGACTCTCTGAGCTTGGTGGTTTTCTTACAGACATTCCATTACCAAACTAGGCAACATGATCAGTCCTAGAAGGGAGTGGGGTTTGCTCTTATTTTTATATGCTAGAATATAAAATACTAGTATATAAAAATAAGAACATCTTGTATACTTTATATATACTGTATGTATACTGTCTGCTGCCAATCTTCCCTGCAATGCTATTCCCACTCCTTTAGGGATGTCTAATTCACCATACCATTCAGGGGAAGTCTCTAAATTATTGTATTTTAATAGCTAAACAATTTTGATCAATAGTCCTAAATAGCTGCAATTATCCAAAATTTGCTTAGTTCATCTAATAGTCATAAAAAGTGCTTAGTTTATCTAATATTAAAATACCATTAAGCTAAAGTCAAGCATGTATAAATGTTCTATCATTAATACACAGGTATAGATTTTTCAAATAAGAAGACTTTGGAATCTTTTATCTGTTACAGATGCTATTCAACTTATTTTTAATATTATATTTACTATGACTCTTCAGTAAAGTATATTATTCACTTTCTATATTGGATTTAATAAAGATTAAGGACCTCTCGCCTAGAAGTGTGAGTCTGCTGCCTGATGTTAATAATTATGTAATATTCAAAAAAGCTACACAGGATTTTCAAAGGCAAAAGTGAAATAATACTGGAATAATGGTTTCTCTTTTTCCCTAATGTACCATGTACATTTCCTTGTTGGGAGAAATGTTGTGTATATAATAGATTATAGTTATACTATAGTAACGTGTGTGTGTGTGTGTGTGTATGTGAACAATTGGGTCCCTCATTAGGCTGGATTCTTTCCAAAGAATGTTAAGTTGCAATCCCAAATTGATTAATAGGAAATAAGCACTTATATGCAGAAGGTTACTATTTGCCCCATCTTATTTAAGTCATTGGAAGTTTCCAATTGGCTGCTGTATATGCCTTACTCAACAGCAAGTATTGGTATAATTAATAATTTCAATTTTGGATTAACACATTTCCAGAATTAAAAATGTCAGTTATTCTGATTTTCTGTGTGTATAAAGCCTTTTTGTATGTGGGGCAGGAGAACATATAGCAATCCTATGCTGTCCATCCTATCATTTCCTGAAAGGACTGTTGATTTCAATTTAAATCTGCTGCACGTAAGCTCAGCCTTTGCAGTCTTAAAAACCAATGATTGAAGGATCGAAGAGTAAATTATACTTCTATTTGGTTTAAGGCTAATAGTAGTTTTGGAACCTTTTGTTTGGACAAAGGATTAAAAACCTTCGCTGTTCCCACAGTTCAACCATCAGCTATTAAAAGTAAAGCTTTCTTGAGATGAAGTAGTTGGTGTCATTTATATTTTGTTCAGAATCTGAATTGTGCAGACATGTTCTTTATGTAGCAATGTATTAAATAGTAATAAACTTCTTGTCAGGAACAGCATTTGAAAGAGATTTATTGTTGTTGGGTTTACCAAAGGCACAGGAAAATATGCATTGTTCTGCTTTTTATTGCTATACCTGACACACTCTCAGTATAACATCTCTGGGACAAGTGTTACTTTAGAATGCTTTGTTCCAGATGCTTGTCAACATCAACAGATTTGTTTTTAAAGTGTCAGAATCAGAAGGACATTGGAATGATGAGAAATTCTATGTTTTATTAAATGGTTTAAAAACTGCACATTAATCCTTATCATTTAAAATTGTAACTTTATAGATAGGGCTTCATGAACTCTTATAAGCTGAGAGAAGACATATATATCATTAGAAATATAGGTACTGCTGCCAATGAAACATGTAACAGACTATAAATATGGTTTTGCTGTACCAATCACTAGGATAATATTTTCTGATTTTCAAGCCATTATGTTTGTTTTGTTTGTTTCCCAAAACTTAATAGAATAGGCAAACCAAAATAATTGTGACAGGGCAGTGTTAGGTCAGGTCATTAAATTCCTGTATCAATCAGAAATATTACCCACTTTCTGGGGCATAAAATAACATTAATACTTTTATTACCTGACCAATCTGTTCTGCAATAATAAAGTCAGGTTATAAAAGTGTAGAAAAGGACAAGACAAGAGTGAAATAGAGACACCTATCAAAGTTGCATTCTGATACTGCTGGTAAAATCTTAAAATTTAAAATACTAAAGAGGAAAAAAAAAGAAGTTATCTAAGTATCCTTGGAAAGTGTATTCCATTAAATTGGACAATACTTTTGTCCAGGTCCTCTTTGCCCAACATTTTAATTTTGTGCAGTATTTTAAACTGCAGGAAAATGATCAGATGAAATAAGCAGTAGCAATAACCTTGAAGAACAGGAGGATGAGTCACAACAAAGACACGACCAGACAAGAAATTTGAGTCCAAGGCAGAAAGTAATTTGAGAAAGTATCTCAGAGCTAACTTCCAGTTCTCTGGAACATAAAGGACGGGAGTGAAGAATTGTGTTCAGATTTGCAAGATTATTTTATTGTAAGCTTATAATAAAACTAGTATTAGCATTCATAACTTTGGTTTCCTAATCTAATCTACCTTGAAGGGTTGACAGATATTGTTTATGATTACAGGGAATAAGGTATAATTTGCTTTTTTCCATAGCTTTTGTATTTGAGAGAAATGTGGTTGGAAGCAAACACATTCATTGTTCTTCCATGAACATTCCAAAAAAAATATCCTTGCCTTTAGGACATTGGGGGTGGGGTGGCAGGTGGGATGGAGGATGGGATAAAAAGACCTGGGTATTTAGAAGCCCCAAACATTAGCTGAACAGAACCACTTTTTACTAAACATGGGAAGTATATATATGTATCAACATCTCAGAAGATGTTCTCCTAGTAAAGCACATTTCAAGGACCAAAGTGCCCTTTTTAAATCCACAAATCCAGACACATTCAAATGCATATACATATACATGCACACATTTCCTCAATTTTCAAATAAGTTCCATTACAATCAAATGGCATCCTTGGGTGCCACCCAATTCCTTTAGAATAAAGATAATTTTTCCTTATAGCATTATGGGCAAAGAAGGGGGTACTGGATAAAGCCTATACCTTTTTTTTGCTAACTCCTTACATAAATTTTGATTAATAAACACTATTATAAGTGCCAAACATTTCTGCCTTCCAGGCGTTGTATAAAATATTAAACAGAAATTGATGTTATTTTGCCAGATTTAGGTTTATCTAATCAACTTTCTTTGTACAGGAATGCAAACTGCCAAGTAGAAAATGTTCAGATGAAAACTAAACAAACTCCATTATAACTCTAGTAATACTTAAACCACATAAATTGAGAAAAAATGTATATAGCATTTTTGTGAATCATCAACAATGACATAGAGTCAATGGCATGCATAGTATTAATCTATTAATCTACTACTAGATCTCTCGTGTCTGTTTGCAACCTTCAACAGGACAAAATAGCACATCATAGGGCATCAATTTTTGAAACAACATACAGCAAATAGGCTCACTTACACAATGCATGCAAAGGCCCATGACTTCTGTGAGATTAAAATTTGATAAAGTTGTGTCTGCTTTAGTACTGCCATACTGCTGCGCCACTGCGATCAGCCATAGTCATGTGACCATCATTTCCAATGCTCCACTTGCCAAGTTTGAAAAACACTGACCTAAGGAGTGTAAAAATGCAATGTCTATTCTAATAGACCAGAATAGGCCTATGATAAAGATAAAGACTATGGTGAATGAATTAAGAAATATTAAGTAAGTGATGGGAAAAGAGTAAGACAGGGTTAAAGAAGGCTTGTGAGAATGTTTGGGCAAAATACTTTGTGCCTTGAATGGATATGTCATGCATTTGGAATAATTAGCTATTGATACCCTGCTTAAGGAAACAAATCCTTCAAAGAGAATTACATCACTTACTTATGAAAGTTGCTTGAGGAGGAGGACAACTGGAATTGGCACACATTTTTCATTGCCTTTTTACTGTGCTTACATAGCAATGCTTTTCAGAAATCCTCTATGGTTGTTCCTGGAATGGTGTAATTCATCAGCCTTTTAATATTTAGAGTGTTTAATGGTGTAGTGAAGAAGGAGGAATCAGTCTTGCTGAGGAAGAAAAATGGAAGAATGAAACAATAGTGTTTTTCTCTTTCACAGACTGTTTATATATGCATGAATATTGTCTCTCTGCCTGTGCAATTTATCTTCATTCACAAATATGTACTATCTGATGCTACTTTCAGAAATAGGTTATATTTTTCCTATAACTAATTATTGGGTAGCAACCACATTGTTTAGTTCTATTTATT